CGGCAGATGACGGCCCAGGCCTATCGCAGCCAGGCCGGCTCCGGAAACTTCCTGCACTTGGCCGTGCAGGCCACGGAGCTGAGGGCCGGGGAGAACCTGCCCGTCCACTTCCACCTCAAGACCAACAACAACGCCGTCCGCGACGCCGTCCAGTACTTCACCTACCTGGTGGGTGCCACCCCGGCTCGGGGGTTGGGATGGCTGGGGGGGCTTGGCTGATGACCATGGCCAAGGTGACCGATCACCATGACTAGGGTGGCCAATGACCGTGGCCAAGGTGATTAATGACAATGGCCAGGGTGACCAGTGACCATGACCAGGGTGATCAATGACCATGACCATGGTGATCAATGACCATGACTAGGGTGGCCAGTGACCATGTCCAGGGTGATCAATGACCACAACCATGGTGATTAATGACCATGACTAGGGTGACCAATGACCGTGGCCAAGGTGATGAATGACCATGGCCAGGGTGACCAGTGACCATGACCAGGGTGATCAATGACCATGGCCAAGGCGATCAATGACCATGGCCAAAGTGACAAATGACCATGGCCAAGGTGACCAATGACCACAACCATGGTGATCAATGACCGTGACTAGGGTGGCCAATGACCATGGCCAAGGTGATGAAGGACCATGTCCAGGGTGACCAATGACCATGACCAGGGTGACCAATGACCATGGCCACGGTGACCAATGACCATGTCCAGGGTGACCAATGACCATGGCCAAGGTGATTAATGACCATGACCAGGGTGACCAATGACCATGACCAAGATGACCAATGACCATGGCCAAAGTGATTAATGACCATGACCAGGGTGACCAACAGACATGACCAGAGTGACGAGTGGTCACAACCATGGTGACCAATGACCATGGCCAACATGACCAATGGCCATGGCCAAGGCGACCGGTGACCATGACCAGGGTGACCAATGACCATGGCCACCAATGACCACAGTGACCAATGACCACGGCCAGGGTGACCAATGACCATGGCCAGGGTGACCAATGACCACGACCACCAATGACCACAGTGACCAATGACCATGACCAAGTTGACCAATGACCATGGCCAAGGTGACTGATGACCACGTCCAGGAGTGGTCACCAAGGGCCAGCACGGCAGGATGGGGTGACCGGGACGTCCTGAACCCCCGTGGTGGCCGAGGGTGGGCTGAGGGGGTCACTTACCACCCGGGTGGCCACCACCAACCCCGGCGTTCCTTGCCCGCCCCAGATCATGAGCAAGGGGCGCATCGTCCGCACCGGGCGGCAGCGCCACGAGGCCGGGCAGAACCTGGTCATCATGACCCTGCCGGTGACCCCCGAGCTCGTCCCCTCCTTCCGCATCGTGGCCTATTACCACGTCCTGCCCGGAGAGATTGTGGCCGACTCCGTCTGGGTGGACGTCCAGGACACCTGCATGGGCACCGTGAGTGTCCCCCAGAGGGGTGGG